GAAGCCTTGACTTTGGGTCTCCGTAGTGCCCACATCCTGTGCAAAAGCTTCCCCTACACTTCCAAGCTTGCCCTATCTGATCAGACCACTCTCCAGACCTGGAGGAAACTGTGTTCACCACAACAGGAGTCACCAGATCAACACCCACAAACTAATCACAAATGTCAATATCGCCAGAGCATACATGATATAGCCTCTGAATTTGTCCTCATGACAACCCTGGGGGTTACATAGTTATCATGCCCAATCTACAGATTAAAATACTGAGGCTGAGAGCAAAAACCTACCTGATGTTACACCACTGCTCAATGCCCAAGTAAAGAGAATCAAAAGTGAATGTTCCCACAGACTCCAAGCTAGCACATGACATATGCTCTGTCACATTTGTGTCCATGGTCTGAAATCCTCTGTCTTCATCTCCTTAGAGCCCCAGATATTCCCCAAATGGCTGAGTCACTTCACCTGGCCCCGGCTTTCTGCCAAGGGCTATGTCAGCCATCTTCAGGATTCCTCAAACTTGTTCTGAGCATGGGAATCTCTGCAGCCCCAGGGGCTGTCTCCTCTCTGCAAACAGCCCTCATGTGGCACACGCCGACTCCCCACAACCAGAACCACCATCAGTCACGTCTGCTCATCCTTCTGTCAGTCTGGGATCGATGCTGGAACCATCGAATCCTGTAATCCACTTCACCTCTAGTGCAGACGTCAGGACTTAAGGCTCTGTCTGCTCATTTCTGGATTACACTTGATTTCTCTGGGTTTGGCATTTGGGGTTTGGGTTTGTTTCTTTGCTTGCTTAGAGGAAGAGTCAATGCTTAGGCTTTTAAAAGCAAAGGTATTTAGTGGATCAACCCAGCACTCAGGAGATAGGAAGATCAGGATTCAAGGTCATCCTTTGCTACACAATTGCTTCAGGGCCAGCCTGGGCTACATGAGATCCAATCTAAAACAAAAAATAATAATAAACAAATGACAACAAAAATAAAAATAATTGATATTTCTTCTCTGTATATTATACTGTAGACAGTTGGGGATACAACCCTCAGAGTCTCAAAGTTCATCTCCACTGAGTTTATTGTTGTTGTTATAACACAACACCAGAGTCTGGTTCGTTTACAAATACAAGAGATTTATTTCGTCAAAGACCAAAGGCTGCTGAGAGCAAAGGGTTTAGAACTCTGTTTTCCTCTTCTTACTGAGTCACTAATCCCATCTGGAGCGGGACAGGGAGGGGGGGGCTCCTCACGACTTCACCCGACCTCGTTCACCTCTCCCAGACCTCACCTCCTATCAAACCAAACTCAGATTTGGGGATCAGATTCCCAACCCAGGAGCTTCAGGGAGACACATGTAAACCCCACTATCCCCTGACTCCTGGTGTACACTGGATCCCGCACACAGTAGGGCTCCAATAAATACTTAGAATGAGGGTAAAATCACTTTTGCGTTTATAAGTATGACCCACATTTTCCTCTCTCCTCATCTCTTAAAATTGCCAAAGAGTAATTTCTCTGTGTGTGCACACATGCATGTGTGACATGTGCATGTTCATATGATGTGCATGTGTGTCTATGTGTGTGAATGTGATATGCACGTGTTTGTGTGTGTGCGTACATGTGGTTGGTGTGCATGTGTGTGTATGCATGTGATGTGTGTGTGTGTGTGTGTGCTCACATGTAAATGGGTTCAGGTACCTGTCACATGAACCTGCATATGTACATAGAGGCCAGAGGTCAATCTTGAGTGTTATTTTTCAGAAGCCATCTTTATTTTTAAGATTTATTTTATGTATATGAGTACACTGTAGTTATCTTCAGACACTCACCAGAAGAGGGCATCAGATCCCATTACAGAGGGTTGTGAGCCACCATGTGGTTGCTGGGAATTGAACTCAGGACCACTGGAAGAGCAGTCAGTGCTCTTAACCACTGAGCCATCTCTCCAGCCCCCATCTTATTTTTTGAGACAAGGCCTCTAACTGAGGCCTTGGACTTAACTGTTTTTAGACTACACTGGCTGACCAGCAAGTGAGAGAAACTGAGAGAGACCAAGAGAGCCGTCTGTCTCCATCTTTCCAGCCACAGGCTTTCAGACCCGCACCACTCACGCCCAGCTGTGATGCGGGTCTGGGTTTTGAGGGGTAGAATTCAGGACCCCATGTTGAGCCCTCTCCCCAGCCACTGAATGTAATTTATACATAATCTGGCCTTTTTTTTGGGGGGGGGCAGGGTGTGTTTTGTTTTGTTCTTCGGTGTGTACTATTCTGTGCATTTAAACACATTTAAGCTTTATTTTCTGGTGACTTCCTGTGAGGCACACCGCACAGGCAGAAAGGCCAGGCAGAGGCTTCACGGACGGGGATGTGAGCCCAGGAATGCTGGCAGCTGCCAGGAGCTGGAAGGGGCAAAGGAAAGGATTGTCTCCACATCCACAGCGGACGCAGCTCTCTGTCCGATTTCTATTTCTGACCGCCAGCTCTGCCAGGTAGCAAGCTTGGCCGCTCTGAGCCGCCGGGTTTACTGTCGTATTTTTGTAACAGCATGGGAAAGCGATCCACTCGCTTTGTTCTCAATTGTTCTGGAAGCTCTGACGGTTCCACTCGGGGCTCCCGAGTCTCTGCTTAGTGGTACTCCGGGCTGGTTCTCGCAAAGCTCTAGGCTGCAGAAATCTCACAAGCACAAGAGCTTGAAGTCCCAGGATGGGTGTCTGCTAAGGGCCTAGGGACAGAGCACTGTCAGCCCCTGTGCCCCCCTAACCCCATGTACCGTGAGAAGAGCCCTGAGTCCCATCCCTGGGCCTTCATGGATCCACTCCAGGTCTTCCCAGCATCCTCCCTGCAGGACCTGGCCTCTGACTGGGAGTACAGAAACCTTGAGTCTGCAGCCCTAGGTGGGCCACTATGTTCCCAGAATCCTCTGGTCTCCTTCACTGAGCCCAACGGCTCAAGGGACAGTTAGCCATGTCTGTGGGTACCAGGAGGAGCAGGAGCCAGCAGAGGTCACAGAGGTCCACAGGGGCTCCAGTTCTAAGGCCCTTGGGTTTTTACACCAAATGTTTCCTACAAAGCAACATAAACCAGTTCCTCACACAGCACAGTGGACCAGTGGACCGTGGGGACAGGTCGCCTCTGTGGGCCCAGACTCATAACACCTCTAACCTCAATCTCCAGCCTCCCACAACCATTGTGGGTCACCTCGTTTCTCACCCACCACATGGCACTTGGCAAGTCACATGTGCCTCAACACAATCTTCAGAAGCCAGGGAATGGGGTTTTGTTTAGCTGGTTGATTGGTTTTTTGTTTGTTTTGTTGACTGTCATGTAGCCCAGGCTAGCCTTCAACTCACTATGTAGCCAAGGATGACCATGAACTCCTGATCCTCTAGCCTCAGTGTCGTGGGTATTGGGATAACGGGTGTGTGTCACCTACCTTCCTCTAATAGTAGCCAAGGTTAGTGATCCACAGATCGAGAGCATCCTGATCTGAGGAAGAACGACTAACAGTCACCTCCTGAAGGTCGCCTGGATCTCATCCTTATCATCCCAGCACTCAAGAGGAGTGGGGGATCAGACATCCAAAGTCAGTTCCAACTACATAATGAGTTCAAAGCCAGCCTGGGCTACATGAAAAATGGAGGAATTAACTGTTTCCTTTATTTGTATTCGTCATGGTGAGGCTATCCTCAGCTACATATCAAGTTCAAGGTCAGCCTGGGCTACATGAGACTCTGGCTCAAAAAGAAAAGGACTCGCTGTAATGACATACTCTGGTCTTCCCAGCACTTGGGAGTCAGAGGCTACCCCACCACTGTCTCCAGCAGCTGGCCTATCTCCCTGAGCCTCGTTCTTTTCATATCTGTGAGATAGGGACCCAACTGCTAAGGTGACCTTGCTCCCATGGGGTGGCTGGAGACTTGAGAATGAAGCGTTTATCATTTCTCCAGTCGGTCACCAAGTGGCAGCGGCCAAGGTTTGGTGTTCAAAGGAGGAGATGAGACAGGGAGAGGTGAGCGAGAAGAGCCCACCCCTCGGGAGCTGGCTGTCCCTGTGTGGCTCAGCGGGGACACAAGGCTGAGAAGCAGAGGCAGGGGACAAGGGTGGGTGACATTTGAGCAAAGATGGGAGTGTGCCAGAGGCTGCCCGCCGAGATTCGAAGGTGCAAAGGCCCTGAGGTGCAAGGGTGCCTGGATGCAGAGCCAAAGCCCAGGCTTCTTCCTCCTCCTCTTCCTCCTCCTCTTCCTGTTCTTCCTCCTCTTCTTCCTCCTCTCCCTCCTCTTCCTCCTCTTCCTCTCCCTCCTCCTCCTCTCCCTCCTCTTCATCCTCTTCCTCTTCTCTTCCTCCTCTTCTGCCTCCTCTCCCTCTTCTTCCTTCTCCTCTTCTAGTCCCTACTCTTCTTCCTTCTCTTCCTCATCTTCCTCTTCCTCCTCCTCCTCCTCTTCCTCCTCTTCCTCTCCCTCCTCTTCCTCTTCTTCATCTTCTCTTCCTCTTCCTCCTCTCCCTACTCTTCTTCCTTCTCTTCCTCCCCTTCCTCCTTTTCCTCCTCTTCTTCCCTCCTCTCCCTCTTTTTCCTCCTCCTCTCCCTCCTCTTCCTCTTCTTCTTCTCCCTTCTCTTCCTCCTCTCCCTACTCTTCCTCTTCCTTCTCTTACTCCTCCTTCTCCTCCTCCTCCCCCACCTTCTGGGTTACTCTTCCCCATCAGACAATGGTGGGGCAGAGCACACACATTAGACAATGGCTGGGCAGGGCACACGCAGCATCCTTCCCAGGCCAGGCCCCAGGCACTGTCTCTTTAACCTTGAAGGCATGTTCGGGTCTCACGTGTCCACCCAGGCGGTGGCCGTCTTTGAGCGGGCTCTTACTTCAGAAGAACGGCATGGGGTGGGGGGGCTTAGGTGGCCTCCGCCTCACCTACAACTGCCAAAAGTGGTCATGGGGTTATTTTTAACCCCAGGGAAGAGGTATTTATTGTTCCACAGCAGGGGCAGGCCAGCAGGCTCCTTGGATTCTCCAGAGGCAGCAGCCAGCCTCACACACCATGGTGAGTCGTCAGTGGACCCTGGAGGGAAGATGCAGGGTGGGCAGTAGAGAGACACCTCCCCCAGGCCAAGGACCCCATGGAGGAGGAGGGATGCTCTCTTAAGAGTCCCCTATCCCTGGATGGACAAGTACCTTGTGCCTTCAGAGGGACCCCAGTCAGCTTCCCTAAGGACCGGCAAACAGCAGCTCCCCAAGAACTTGCAAAAATCAAGGAAAAATGGGGTTGGGGGGTGCCTACTTCCTGATCTCAAGAAATCAGTAACTCCCAGAGCTTGCCAAACGAGACCGAGAGCTTTTAAGGATAAAATTGTAAATTTTTTCCCCATTCAGGGAGCCAGGAAGAGTTTTTCTGGTTCTATCTTTTGAAGTTGAAAATGCAAAAGGTTCTTCTCGAAATATTTGTGTCTGCCTCTCAGAACAAGTATCCCCCAGCTGCTAGTTAGAGACAGCGGCTAGGGGCACAGAGTATATTGTATTTCTGTGGCTGTGTGACCTAGAAAAGTGACTCACCCTCTCTGAGCCTCCTGTACCTCTGTTTCCTTGGTGGAGCAGAGGAGAGCATTAGACAATGTTTGAATGTTTTGGGTATCGTCTCGTGTTGTCTGGGCATCAGAGACACACTGCCCAGGTGACAGAGCCTGGCCCAGGGCCTGGTCCAAAGGTTCAGCAGTGTCTAACAGCTGTTTCCTCTCCAGGCTCCAAAGAAAGCCAAGAAGCGGCTGGAGGGCGGAAGCTCCAATGTGTTCTCCATGTTTGAGCAGACCCAGATCCAGGAGTTCAAAGAGGTGAGTGTGGCAGGGTCCCCCTCCCCGGACATAAGGACACCCAACCAGAGAAATGATCTGCATGCCCAGACATATCCAAATCGTGTGTGAACCCCCAAAGAAACACTTGGTCATAGTAACTTGTGTGGATTATCCATGAAAGCACACCCCTTATTGAAATGCGGGGATTTTCCAGGACCACACAGAGCAGCGTAGGCACTGGGTAGCCACAGTCACCCACTGGCAATCTCTGCTCAGGGATGTCCCACTATCACTTTGGTTGCCGATGTAGAGGGTGCCTCAGTTCCTCCCGTGCTTGGGGGCGGAGGGCAGGCAAAAAGATGAACCACAGAGGAAGAAGAGCGGGACTAGGAAGGATAGCGGGACCAAATCCAGCCTCTGGCTCCTAGGACCCTTCCTGATTCTCCTTTCTTGCCTCAGTTCCTGGTGCACTGGACTGGGCAGCCCAGCATCCATCCGTGTCCGTCACTGTTGTGTCCCTGTGTATTAGCTACAAAGAATTCCCTTTCCACCCGGGAAGGGTACGGCAGCCTCAGGCAACTGAGTAGGGTTCTACCTGTTGCCCTCAACAGTGGGGCTGTGCCTTACAGCAGGTGCCTAACTAAGGTGGCAAAGTGAAGCCACTGGCTACAGTCAAAGAGGACAGGCTCAGAGTCCTGTCCCTGCAGCGTTGTGAGGCCCTCCCTCTCACCTGGCCCTTGGGAGAAGGGGCGGACAGCTGCAGTCACAGAGGCACATGTAGGCAGGTTCTAAGAGAGTGATCTCTGTCCCTACTAACTCAAAAGGCAGGAAAGCCACCTCCTGCAGGTCACCAGGTTTTACTCGTGCCATGTCCCCTCCCCTCCCCAGCTGAACCTCTTGTCCCTGCCCTGTCTCAGCTGAGCAGTGACCCTCCCCACAGGCCTTCACGATCATGGACCAGAACAGAGACGGCTTCATTGACAAGAATGACCTAAGGGACACATTTGCTGCCCTAGGTATGTGGCCCTGACCACTACCCCACACCAGGAAAAGGGGTGGAGGGGGGTGGGCATCAAAGGAGGCCAAGAGCCCATCTGTCATCTGCTGAAGTGGCTCAGCTGCCACTGGCCCTCTGGAACAACTCCAGTGGCCTTTCTAACCTTTCTCCCTTCCTTTCAATCCAGGGGAGGGGGCAGGAGAGGATTAAAAAAAAAAAACACATTCCTGGCTCATAAATAGAAAACTCAAATTACTAGGAAAAGAAAAAGGGAGAAAACAGAATTACCCAGAAGGGTACACTCTGGTCAACACTTCGGTCTCCATCCTTGAAATCCTTCCAGATCGCTGCCTTTCAAGTTATTGGGGTCATCCCATCTGGGACTTGGGTTTATTTAACATCTCAGCAGTGTGAGCCTGGCTTCCAGCACCACCCGCTCCTAGCCTCGGGACTCAGAGCTGCCACGGACAGCTCTGGGGGCTGTTCACCTCTGTGACTAACGTAGCTCCTCATTTTAAAAACACAGTCTTGAGAAGGAAGGGGTCATCTCTGTCTAGTCTGTGCTGTGGAAGGAGAGAAAGCAGGAATAGGATGCTGTGGAGACGTGGGCGGCAGCAGGCCTGACAAAAAGAGCTCCCTCGGAGACAGGGGATGAGCTCTCTGCCTGCATGGCTCACAGGTCCATCTCAGAACGGCACTGCAACAAAAGCTTTTCTTACTTGCGTTAAAGGTTTCAGGCCTGAAGACACTTTATCTGATGAGCTCAGGTCTCATGTAGCCCAGGCTAGCCTCAAGTTCAAAATATGTAGCCCAGGAGAACTTTGCACTTCTGATCTTCTCCAGTGCGGGGATTAGACAGTCACTACCACATCTGGCTAGAAAACACTGCTGGGAACATCTGTCCTGGGTGGGTCTGTCTGTCCGTCTGTCTGTCTGTCTGTCTGTCTGTCTGTCTCTCTCTCTCTCTCTCTCTCTCTCTCTCACACACACACACACACACACACACACACACACACACACACACGCTGTTCCTGAAGGTTACCAGCTTCCTAGAAGCAGGATCAAAAAGGGCGGCAGCTGCCTGCTCCCAGCTCTGGGTCTCTGGGTCTCCCACCAGGACGCGTGAACGTAAAGAATGAAGAGATTGACGAAATGATCAAAGAAGCCCCAGGTCCAATTAACTTCACCGTGTTCCTCACGATGTTCGGGGAGAAGCTTAAAGGTGAGCTTGTGTGTATGAGAGAGAAAGAGAGAGAGAGAGAAAGAGAGAGAGAGGAGAGAGAGAGAGAGATGAGAGAGATACTACCGCTTCACCGCTGGGCATGAATTAAGCCCTAGAAGAGACATAGGCAAAAGGTGGGTAGTTCCCATTGAACAAGGACCCATTGAAAGCTAGCATGGGAGAGCTGGAGAGACGGCTCAGTGGTAAGAGCGCTGGCTACTTTTCCAAAGGTCCAAGGTTCGATTCCTAGCACCTACATGGTGTCTCATAACCATCTGTTAACTCCAGTTCCAGGAGATCTAATGCTCTCTCTGGACACCAGACACACATTTAGTGCAAAGACATACATGCAGGTAAAAGACCCACACAGAGAGAACAGAAAAATAGTATAAAAGAAATCAGGGCTGTTGCTTCAGCTAGGCAGGAGGGCATGCTCCTCCAGCAGGGGGCGCTGCTCTAGCAAGGGACACTGTACCATCAAGGGATGCTACTTCAGCATGGGCCCTGCTCCAACAGGGGCCTGTTTCCACTTCTTTACCTAGTCTTAGGCTAATGTACTCCAGGTGCTGACATTTCAGAGCATCTGAGGAGCTGGCTCTACTCTGACCCACAAGTCTTGGTGAGTTCAGAGACAGAAAGCCAACTTGCTTGAGACTCCTCCCCACAGCCCACAAAGTCCCAGAGTGAGGCCTCTCTTGCATTGGACTTCCTGTTGGCTCCTCAGCCTCCTCTTTAAGCTTTAATTTCTATTATGTGCACACGTGTGTGCATAGCACATGCGTGCAGTGCCCATGAAGGGCAGAGAAGGTGACATTACTGGGAGCTGTCATGTGGGTACTGGTCCTTTTCCAGAACAGCAAGCCCTCTAGTTGAGCGAACTCTCAGCCCTCTTTCAAAATCCAGGTCTCCCTCTGAGGGAAGCAGCCTTGCCCCAGCCCCTCTGGCTCAGGGGGACCTGGGTCCACTTCCTGTGGCCTCAGCAACTCAGGTTCCAGTAGACAGGTGGGCCTATCTTCTCTTGCAGGGGCTGACCCTGAGGAGACCATTCTCAACGCGTTCAAGGTGTTTGATCCTGAAGGCAAAGGGTCACTGAAGGCTGACTAGTGAGTGGGTTCTGAGAGAGAGGGGTCCCCACTTTCCACCCCCCTACATCTGTCTCCAGCACCTGCTCTCTCCTTTCCTACAGTGTCCGGGAGATGCTGACCACACAAGCAGAGAGGTTCTCCAAAGAGGAGGTACAGGGTCCCCAGTGTCCCCACCGCCCAGACCCCTTTTACAGATGCTCTGTCTCGCTCTACTGCCCATCCCCCATGAGCACCAGCCATCAACCCCTCACTCATGGGACTTTAGACTTTAACTTCACTGTACCTCAGTCTCCCTGTCTGTCAAGGCGGGGTGAGGAGGAGATCTGCTGCCCCGTGCCACTTGATGGCACTCATAGTGCACACTGCCACCACAGGACCGGGACACAGTGTCTTTTGGTGGTTACAAATTCAAGCCAGCCAGGTCTCACGACTCAAGCCTGCCAATCCCATATACTAGAGAAGCTAGGGCAGGAGGATTGCAGGTCTAAGACCAGCACAGGCTACAGAGTGAGTTCAAAGCCAACCTGGGAAACTTCATAAGTCCTGTCACAAAATAAAAACTTAACAAGCCAGGGGCTGTAGCCCAGAGCTAGAACACTCACCTGACATGCATACAACTCTGGGTTCAAACCTCATAGCTGCAAGATCAACAGGGGAGAGGAAAGTGGGAGGAGCAACCATTCAGAACCATTTGCCTTTTAAGGCAGGGTCTCACTACACAGCCCTGGCTGGCCTGAAACTCATGCTAGGATCACAAATACCATTATGCCTGCTTCTTCCAACAAGGTTTCTCTGTGCCCTGGCTGTCCTGGAACTCACTCTGTAGACCAGGCTAGATTCTAACTCACAGAAATCCGCCTGCCTTTGCCTCTAAAGTGCTGAGATTAAAGGCATATGCCACAACATCCAGCTTCACCCGATACTTTTAGACAGGAGAATTGCATGTAAAATAAGCTACCCTGATATCTGATTTCCCTCCAAGAATATGACCTCTCTGGCCATTAGAACACAACCGGTCATATGACTGCACTCAGCCACAGTCCCCACCAGCCCCTTTCGCACCTGAGGGCGGCCTGCTTAGCAGCTCTCTCTACAGCTGGATCTCCAATTTCCCCTGCTGGGCATCTGGGGGTTGCGGGCCAGTCTAGGGGACCTCAGATCACCCTGGTGAGTAAAGGTAGGGACGGTAAAGGTACAAGAGTCTGTGAGCACAGGAGCCGAGCCAGGACACAGCCTGGGCTTAGTTCTCAGGGAGAGGTAACCTTTAGGCCTGCTGCCTTCCCTCCGGCCTCAAGCCCTAGTGACAGCAATCACAGGGACAGGCCTGGCTTGGGGCACTAGCATCCTTCCCATGATCTCAGGCCTACTCTGCCCCCTGACATTCTCAGCATCTCTGTACCCCGTAATTCTTGCTCGCAGATCGACCAGATGTTCGCAGCCTTTCCCCCTGACGTCACCGGCAATCTTGATTATAAGAATTTGGTCCACATCATCACTCACGGGGAAGAGAAGGACTGAGCCCTGAGCCTCAGGTGACCTACGGCTCTCTCTCCATCTCCAGCCCCAGCTTGCAGGTGTAGACCATCCCAGGGCTGTGTGCAAATAAACAGGAAGTCTTGGATCTAGTTGTGGTGGTGGCCATTGGCTCATTGGCTCTAAGTAGCCAAAGTCACAGAGTATTTGGGTTCTGTGAAGGCTGCAGGGATCTCAGTTTGAATAACAAACAGGCACCACCTAGTGGCATACACCAGCACTTGGGAGGCAGAGGCAGGTGGATTTCTGAGTTCGAGGCTAGCCCGGTCTAGAGAGCCAATTCCAGGAAGTCTACGGACTTCATCCAGGAGTGGCCAGATCTGTCACTGTCCCAAGGTGACCTTCCTTCCCTCAGCTCTGTCTGCTTTCTGGACCTAGCCTTTGAAGGTAGGAAAAAAGGTAGATGGATCTCTGTGAGTTCTAGACTTAGCCTGGTTTACATAGTGAGTTTCAGGCCAGCCTGGGCTACATAATAAGATACTGAATAAAAACAAAACACTCTAGCGGTGGCAGTTCCTGGCTCCCTTGACCTGACTTTCCATAAGCTTAGCGCTGAGTCCCCATAGATAAACTAAAAAACAGAAAACCAAGTTCAAGAGAATCACTAGGACCAAGCATAGTGACATCTAAGGCTAGCCTGGGCTATATAGCAAGGCCCTGTCTGAGAGAGAGAAGAAACCCACACCCTCACACCCAGCCCTGCAACTGATGAGGTCCCTGTGGGGCCCCTTGAAGGAAGCTGGGGTTCAGGGGAGTGGGTCCTGAAGGATAAGAACCCCCAAACTCTGGACTACCCATACTCTACCTGTGGTTCTGGGAGTGTCCTCCAGGGACTCTTCCAGAGACACTGAGGCTGGGGACCCCAGATACCTAGGCTCTGGAGAGAGGCAACAAGGCCTGCGTGACCCAGCTCAGTTCTACGGGGACACACATCCCCAAAGTACATGCAGTCAAACAGGCTCTCTGCTTCCAAGACCCTGGTTCCTGCTCAGTGCCTGCCTCTTCCGGTAGACCCTGGAGTCTTCCACCCCCAAAATTGCCCTGTTCCACCTGGCAGATCTTGTCAGTTGTGGGGGTTTGGGGGGAGTGCTGGTCCCATTCTCAGGGTTATCAGGAGCCACACAGACCTCAGGCCACTTTTGGGACCCACGCTTCTCACCCCTTACCTCACTGCAAAGCTGGTTTGCAGCCCTCAAGAGTTCCTCAGCACAGCACATGCAAAGGCCCTGGGCTCAGCAAGAAAACATTTATTTATAGTGTGGAATAGAGCCACCCACGCAGCTCAGACTGTCACCTTCTTCTTAAGCCTTATCTCGTCCCCCTTCTCTGACATGGTGTCCTGTAGTTCTTTTCCGCGTTCCCTCTGAAGGTAGTTCTCCAAGACCAGTTGCCGGAGGCTACTGTGGTCCAGAGGATAGTCCACTGCACCCAGGACAGAGATCTGTGAGGAACTGGGAGTTGGTACCCAGCTCACTTCCTTCCCAGGGACAGTGTCACTCCATCATGCTGGGCTGGGCATGGGGTGGAAAGCCCTTCAAAGCTCCAAGCAGACAGGTCCCCTCAGAGAGTTCCCAAGCACGAACAGGAGACACGGCTGGTTTAATACCCACAGACCAAGATGCAAGACACAGCCTTGGGTTGATTGCTAAGCCATTGCTACCCAGGGGAACATACATTTTAGTGGCTACATAGCACTCCGTTATGTGTTTGGGTAGGTTCTGACCAAGAATGAATGGTGTGTGGTGTGTGTGCATGCACATGTGTGTATAAGAATGTGTGTGTGTGTGAATGTGTGTGTGCATGTATATGTGTCTGAGTATACCTTATATGTGTTTGTTTATGGGTATGTATGAGTGTGTGTATACATGTCAGTGGATGAGTGTGAGTGTGTGTGTTTGAGTATGTATATGGATGTGTGCATATGAGTGTGTCTAAAGAGTGTATGAGTGTGTGGGTGTGTGGGAGTATGTATGTGTGTTTGAATTTATGTGTATGTGTGTGTTCATGGGCATGTATGTATGTGTGTACATGTATACAAGTGTGTGTGTAGGGGTGTGTACGTGTATGTGTGTGTGTGTTTGAGTATGGGTGTATTGTGTGTTTATGAATGTGTGTGTGAGTGTGTGTGTATGTGAATATGTATGAGTGTCAGTGTATAAGTGTGAGTCTCTATGAGTATGTATATAGGTGTGTGCACATGAGTGTGTTCAAGAGTGTATATGAATACTATGAGTACATTTGTGTGTTTGAACACATGTGTATGTGTGTTTCCGAGTATGCATGTGTGCACACGTATATGAGTGTCTGTGTATGAGTGTTTATGTAGATATATGTAGGTATGTTTGTCAGTTTGTATGTGTTTGTATGTAATCAGTGTCTGTCTGTGTGTGTGTGTGTGTATGAATGTGTGTGTGCGTATGTATGAGTGTCAGTGT